ATTCTTATTTTTATTTTTGTTTCATTGTATTTAATTGCAATGAATATTTTTCTCGGATTGGGGATTCTATTTTTACTAGTGAGATATGATTTTAGCACAAAGTTTGTTTTATTCAAGACGAAGATGTAATACGTGAGAATAAACAATGAGTCCGTCTTACCATGGTACCAATATCAACAGGAATTTAAAATGATTGGTCAGCATCACGGACATAATTATATTAATACATGAACACGTTTTGCGTTTGTAGTAAATATGGAAAAGACTTCTCAACGAAACATTAAAGATAAATGTATAAGTTAGTTCATTTTAAAGAAACATATGCAAGATTGTTTTACTAAGTTGTAATTGTCGTACGCTGATAACGATGATTCAGCTAATGTACTGATAGGGAAATCGTTATAGTCGTTAACTCTATTTAGCTTTGGACCTGGTATCAACATCTATGAATAAAACGGCGATTTAAATTAAATTATCAATTGAATCCTATATTGAAATTCTTAGAAAGTAACTATTACATTTTTGTTTCACTTTTATTCCACTTTCCAGTCATCATCGTAAATGAATTAACTCACCGTTTCAATTATTTAATACCGGGAAACATCCGCAATTACAAAGTCTATTTTTTTTCCTACCGTACCTAAAATGAGAGATGTTACTGTAGAAATATCATGCAAATGACAAGAAAAATTACGGGTACATTTAAGTTTAGGATCAAACAATTTCAGTCTGGGAAAAAGAAAAAAGGGGACGTCCCGTTTAACCTCTGTCCTCTGGCAGATCCACAGAGATCTTCATTTCGATTAGCCGCTTATGGGGCATAAATTACGCAACACTAACTGTATATGCTTCCAGCTTTCCAATGGACGTTGAGGGAGGTAAAAACTTCATTCATCTCCGAGATGTTGTTCCATATCAGTAAACCTAATTCGTCTCAAATTTGTCGTTCCATATTTTAAAACCTGATTCGTCCCATATGTCTTTCCATATTATAAACCTCATTCGTCCCAAATATTTATTTCCATATTATAAACCTCATTCGCCAAAGATTTGTCGTTCCATATTGTAAGAACTCATTCGTCCCAGATATGTATTTCTATATTATGAACCTCATTCGTCATAGAACTATCGTTCCATATTGCAAAAAAAAAACATTCGTCCCAGATATGTATTTCCATATTATAAACCTCATCCGTCATAGATATGTCGATCCATATTATAAACTTCTGACTGATTTGATAGGCTTCATTTTTGGGTTCGAAAATGTAAAACGAACGCCCTTTTTATCCCAATACTTGATTTTGCTAATACTCTCCACTCATTGTGTTAGTAGAGACACGGCCTTACAGAAACTAGTAATTGAAATTAAACATAAAATAACTCGACTAACTAACAAGAGAAACTTACTAGATAATTTCGAACTTTTCTGATATAAAAATAATTAAATTATTTAGTCCCAAGTCCATACACTTCAATGGATAATTACATTAAAGGATTAACTTGCATTACCACAGACAGTGACTGGACTACTAAATTATTTAACAGCTCGTTTCCAGTCTCCATAATATGTGATGACATACAATATTTTCCACTAAATAGATTTACCACACAAACACGGGCTTTTAATATCTCAACGGAGCCTGTACGTTCTTAATATAGGAGGAACATTAGTTATATTAAGTAGTAATTCACTTCAGAGGTCTAGATACGCTGGTCTGAGAGTACGTAATTTCTTTCAATATTATGTAATTTATAGCACTTTAAATCGAAGTGATAAAATGATTATGACATCTTTCTCAGACTTACGTGTATGCGTTTAAAGGAAATCGCCATGACCAATCCACGCACGGCTTGAATTTGATGTAGCTTTTTAGATGGATTAATGCGCAATGAGTTACATAACATCCGACAGGTTTAAAGTCAACAGCTTTTGTTTTAGAGTCGTTGTGTCAATCAGTTAATATAAATAGGGTTCATTCTCATGTGATTAAGCATATCCAATGTTTTAGTTCTTTGGCAACTAATTTTCACCATATCAAGATTCCGAAAGTTGTTCTCCGGTTTTATAGGTAGCCAAATATCACATAAAACGTGCATGAAATTGATCGGAATTTCGTGATAATTATATACATTTTCGCCAAATAATTCGTAGATAATGTATTTTAATTAACTCTTTGAATCATCATTGTATATGCACGGAAAGTCAACACTTCATATATTTGTTATGTGACTGTTTGAGTGCTAACTTCTACTTACCTTGTCTCTAACGTCTTTTATTTCGAAGCGATTGTTCACGGCGTCCTTCGCGGACATCTCAGAGGTGAGAAAGAAATGTATGTTGCTACAGAATAACACTAAATGTAAAAATAAGTAGTCATCAAATTTATATTTGGATGTTTCATTATTGCTTAACTTTTGTAACAGAAATGAAATGATCCATTTGGTTGGAAACAGTTTAAGATGGTTCTAAAAGAAAATTAACTGTTAACTTCCAAATTAGGAACGTGCATAAGTGAAAAGTTCCCTTTAATATCTCTATACTAGGCCATCGTTTAATCTTGGCAGTTCAGGCTGACAGGGACAAATGAAGACCTCATTTGTCCCAAAGACTATTACTGCGATACAGGACGACAAAATAAAAGAATTTGCCACATTAAACATAACTCTGTGCCAAACTGATGGATTCGTTGTATTTCGTGATATCGGGTCCATCGTGCATACTAGGATTGTCCAAAAGACATAAGCTGGAAAAAAACCCACATCCTTATTTTCCCTTAGAGTTTCATCTAACGCTCGCGATACATCCATGTGCGTTTTGAGTGAATTAATAAATGAAAAGTATTTATTGGAAAGGTTTTCCATGCCTTAGCAGGCATGCTGGCAAACATGGAAAAAAATGTTATTTTCAACATAGTGTATACTATAAGCATATGTTGTACTACTGTATGATATGACACATATGAACGTGCGACACAAATTTGGTGTTCATGTCCCCGTCGTAAAATCCTAGCATGTATCAGTTGGAGATATCAACCAGGACATACAATAATATATGATATTAATAGTCGTAATATCTTTATTCGTATCAAGTTAACGCTCCTATACAGAAAGAATGAAAGAGAAACTGAGTTTGGGAGTTTGTCTAAAGTGGTGAAACCACGAAATCATAATACTTTAAACAAAATACAAGTTTGTTGAAGAAAAACAAAAATTAAATATAATAAAAAGAAAGCGCATATTTCTGGTTCAATGGAATTAGTATGATTATTTATGAACATAATAACAATATTCATTATAGAATTAGGCAATTTATGAATAAACAATAATATTAAATACGTTCTCATAAATTCTAAACATGCATTGCAGAGATGTGTTATTTTCTGACGTGTGTGTACATGTATATGTATATGTATATGTATATGTATATGTATATGTATATGTATTGTGTCAGAGGCTGCGTGATTCCATCAGTCTTCGTTTGACTCTTTATAGCTTTTAATCAATTCCGTGTATCATGGAAGACAAGAAAAGAACTTCTGAAAGTTATGAAATGATGTGAGGAACGAACTAAATATAGCATTAGCTGACAAATAAAAGCTATTCATTTACTGTTCATGAGGCATGAACTAACACAGTCATCCCCATTCCCTTTAGCACCGCTTCATTTTCCTGTCATAGTAACGCCGTAGGGAACACAATATGCAGTATCTGGAAAGGAATCTGACTACGTCTTCCCTCTGCAAATACAGTTTATTTAAGCTGCAATTTCCTAGATCAATTTGTCCTGCATGCACCTAGACATGTGTTCATAAATCTGGATTGAATTGCAAACGAAAGCTTTAAATACTTCAATAAGCTTTAAAATGATTTCCCGAAAATTCCCACTACAATACCTAATACTCTTTTTGTACGTTTCTTTGCTGTTGTTTTTATTGGGTAATGATGATTACAGCAAGATAAGCATCAACGATCAGTACAGTTTGTTCTACGGGGATTATTATAATGAATATCTGATATTGTCGGTATTAAGGTTGGCTTTATATACTGCTTTCATCTCTTAACAGATGATTATGATTTTTACTCAATCCCTATTGATGCTACATGATAATTCTTTCAGCCTTTAATTGATTTTTATGATTCAGTTCTTTTAACGTCTGTTTGCACTCAGTAAACTGTTGTAGTAAAATGGTTACGTTGTAATAGAGAAGGATTAGGAGATTAGAACGACGTCGGTTACTTTTTATGTTGGAACATGACAATAAATAGATAAATAGTTAGATAAACAGTCTACTAGATAAAAACTGTGCCTTTGATATTGTTATAACATTTACATTGGCAAAACATACATTCTGTTAAAATGTATGGTTTTGAGACGTTGAAATTGTTTCTATCATTTATGCACTCGTTCCTTAAGTAAATATATATATATATATATATATATATATATATATATATATATATATATATATATATATATATATATATATATATATATATATATATATATATATATATATATATAACAATGGTGGATCAAATAGAGTTACGATTCGATCTTCACCGTCACCGAACATGCTTCTTATTAAATTCATTTTTCATTTCGCTTCATTTCGTTTGATGTTAATACACTTATTATAATATTATGATAAATTGCTTCAACATTTAGTTATCTTTTGTGAAAGATACATAATGTCTTCTGTGTGAGAATTAGCAAACTAACGATAAAATCCTGTGTATAAGAACTATGTGACCATTGCGTAATTTGTGTGATTTGGATTTTTAACGTGGCTTTAACAATTTTATAGTCATATCGTTATGATGTCTGCAGTGTGGCAGTTTATAGTGATGTCTAGCATTTGGACATCATGCCGCACACATGTAGCATTATGTTCCACCTAGTCGCATTATCCTCACACTAGGTCGATCAGTCCTAACGCTATCGTCTTAATGTTGAGCGCCAAGAGAGGAAGACATTAGTACCATTTTGTACGTCTTTGGCATGACTCAGACGGAGATCAAACCCACGACCTCTCGCATCTGAGGTGGGCGCTGTAACCACTAGGCCACCAGAGCGGTCTATGTGACCTTTGTGGTCTAATATTTGGTTTTCGCAGTTCCATTTAAATTCCACGAAATGTCGCACCTGTGTTATAGAATGAATCGATTTGCTTAAACACTGGGCGGAACTTCAGCTTAAAATGGAAGAGACATTTTGGATAACTTAAAGATTAGGCGTTGGTTTATAGCAGTTAATCAGCTATTCAAACGGAAAACATAATTTTCAATGTTATGGAGCATGTATTTGCTTACAGAGAAACTTGTATTCTTTAAACTATTCAGAGCATATGCAATATTAGTTCAAGTTACGTCAGTAATATTGTATGGCGTCATTAGCAAGTTTATACAAACTATTTACATCAATGTTTAACTTTACTTTTAGAAATATTATAAAAATAGAAGTATCCCACTGTCATTTGCTACTTCCTCTACTAAACATTTCAACATCGTACCTTGTAATTTTTTTTACAAATATGACTATTTCAAAAGCATATGGACGAACTAGGTTTATCATAATAACTGAGTGACAATTTATGGTAATGTCTTGCACTGAGACATCATGCCTCAGACATGTAGCGTCTAGTTCCACCTAGTCACTACTGAAAGAAGGTATTAGTTATAGTAGTGGTAGAAGTAGTAGTAATTTTTAACGGCACGCCTGAAAAATGATGTTTACACGGTCAGGTTATGAAAATGTAAATATAACGATTTGTAAATCAATGTAACTATAAGGAGATAAAGTAGTCGAAATAAACATTACGTATTAGAACGTAACATTTGGAACGGCAATTGATTTTAATTACCTCTCAAAATTTGTTCAACATGAAAGAATAAATTTACAGCTGTAAAGTAATTAAAATCTGTTTTTTTAAGTCCAATGTCTGGTGTATCCCAAAATATCTTCAGTACGTTGACATATAAATTCTCTGACCAACAGGATGGACAGCAAAAAACAATTTAGTTTCCTTTCAAGACCCCTAATACCAAAGTGACTAGGCAGCCGACAGTGTATAATGATTTTGATAGATTATCTAAGCAGTTAATGTGCATCAATAGCTGGAATATAAACGGGTTGTCAAATTTCAGATTTATCTTGCATTCAGCATAGAAAGGAATTCCGAAGACATAATATATTTTGTGTTTATTGTGCTAGGAGATTTCGATATAGTTTGAATATGGCTGTACATTTAGCTATAACAACGAAAACTGTTATATAACCAGTTCAATACCTTGTCATGATATGTTGTTCTGGTAGCTCCATCCTTGTCGCCATGTTTGCAACCCACTGCATTCTGGGGGATTTTTATTTTAAACTGATTTCATTGATTTTATCCTGAACCAAGAGGTTTTGTTAAGGGCTTTCTGTATTCGAAAATGTTAAATATTATTTTGCCAGGTTTTGATAACCTAGTTGGTGATGTCAGAATAAAATATTTGAAATATTTACATTATTTTTGAAGTGTAGATGTTTTGATATTTTGGCATACAGAAAATGTGATATATTAGTTTATATCAGTTAGGAGAGAGCTTCAAGGTATACGGAAGAGTCAGTTTGTGAGCATTTTTAACAAACTATTCAGGCCTACCAAGTTTTGCTGGGAGGAGTTTTGGAAACTGTTTCTGTCAGTGTATTTGCAATTTCTAATAGGGTCTTTGCTAACTCATCTGATTTCTTGAAATGATCGGTAAGGTTGTGTTTAAGTTTTTTCAAAACTTGTATGTTCTATACTCCATACTAATTTAGGTTCAATATGTTTTCTTCATGCTCTCGCTAATAATCCTAAAAGTGGAACGATCTTTACGTTGTTATGTACGCTTCCTATTTAAATGTTCAACTGATGAATCGGTATTGAAATATTTAAGGACCTGTTTGTGAAAGCATCATGAACTAATAATGCTGTGATACCATTATGAAACGCCAAAAGTTTGAAATTCTTTCCCCAATTGTGCGATGTAGTATCTTTACAAATAAAAGTACTGGATTCACCACGTTTTTGAAATGATTCACTATCATTTTTCCTGTAGTCAATAATGCATTTCCTAATTCACCTCAGTCAACTTCCATCTCAGCCCTAGCCGCTGGTGTTTTGAATTACTATATCTAAAGTATATTAGAAAGTGTTGGCTACCTCTGAGGTCGTCATCAGCTTCCCAATAGCAATTAAGTAAAAGAAATGCATGGCACATCTACAAATCTATAGATGTAAGCCGGTGTCTACTATCATTAAAAGGTATTTTTTTCGTTGGAAACAAAGTATTTATTCTGTCTCTGTCCCTCTCTCTCTCTCTCTCTCTCTCTCTCTCTCTCTCTCTCTCTCTCTCTCTCTCTCTCTCTCTCTCTCTCTCTCTCTCTCTCTCTCTCTCTCTCTCTCTCTCTCTCTCTTTCATGTTTGCAACACTCATAAGGCATTGTGGCAATTATAAATGCAAGTAAAGCCAACGTTGCTGACAATTGATCCATAAGATGGTCCAAACCAGAATAACGATAGGATTGCTAAAAGAGAAAATTATATTTACCTACGTACAAACGTTTCGTGGATGGAGACAAGAAAGATCATAGTGTGTAATGTACTATTGTCATGTAATAAAAACAGGTAAAACAAGTATGCTGACGAGCAGATTCGATGACAAATTGGCAAAAAAAAATCCAAATGTTTAGGGTCGGCTGCAACCTAATAATTAGTTTGCCATACTCTATTATGATGTGTAATGTCCAGAATTGCAAGAAACAAGCTGGCCAATACGCGAGTTTTCAGACGCTGTTAACATCTGATAAAGCCATAATATTTGCTAATTAAAAATTATTGCATTGCCTACAAAAGCATTGAATGTTGCTATGTCTAACACATCTGTGTTGAAATATATTTAACACACGTGTGGGAAGTACGTTTCATATGTGTGTGTGTGTGTGTGTGTATATATATATATATATATATATATATATATATATATATATATATATATATATACATATACATATACATATACATATACACACATATATACATATATATATATATATATATATATATATATATACATATACATATATATATATATATATATATATATATATATATATATATATATATATATATATATATATATGCGTGGAAAGAATGTTTAATATATCTGTGTCGAAACCATATTTAATTAAATATATTTGTGGAAACTGTGTTATATATATATATATATATATATATATATATATATATATATATATATATATATATATATATATATATATATATATATATATATATATATACTGGTATGAAGATCATTTCAAATAAAAGAGGTATTGGCATCCTATAAACCTCTCATTTATCAATTCAGTCGTATCCGTTTTCTCATTGGCAGTCTATGATTAAAGCTGAGTGGAAAAGTAATCTTCAAGTCGCAAATGGAAGTAAGTTTTTCTACAAAATTCATGTTGTCTCGAATTTGCGATTATATATACATTTTCAGCCTTCATACAATTGGCTGGATGCTCGGCAATGAATATTATTCCGTCCATTGTTTCATTTATTGCAAGGTGGCTACTCCCTTCTGACAACATGCTCTTGAGGACAGATTTATGATAAACATGAACCCCAAAAGATTTAGGGTGATTAGTATTGCACATTGTTTTGTCTAGAGTATTAGGGTAGAGACTAACGAAAGAATGAATTTACTTTTAAATATTTTGGCATCGAATCTAGTGTACACCTGACTAATAGATCATCGTGTGTATGTTCTGGCATTTTAACGTAGCTTTAATAATTTGCGTCATATCGCTACGATATCTGCAGTTTTTCAGTTTATATTTAATGCCTAAAACGGTGGAATGATGCCTCAGACACGTGACATCACATACCACAACTTCACATTATCCTGACACCAGGCAGACAAATTCTAACGTTCAATGATGAGCTCCAAATGTGGCAGTTGCGGACGCTCTAACTACTATAGCCACCGGAGCAATCGCTACTAGATCCAGCTAGTGGAGTAATTCTATTGTGGTTTTCATTCAGATAGCTATAGAAGTATCCTTCAGATTGATATACAATTGACAGCCATAATAGATAGAGAGCAAATGATCTATAATCACATCCTGGTTGGTTCCAGAATGTTTTTTTTTAGACTTCTGCAGATAACATAGAAACCAATAATGCCAATCCAGACGGTAAAACCACTTCGCATGGCATATAAAAAAAGGGTATGGCAGATAAGACAACCTGTTGTCCTGGTGAATGACACTGATTTATCAAAACATACGACAGTAAGCGTTCCGGAAACAATAAAACTACTATCCCTCTCAACATCGTCAAAGTAACCCCTCGAGAAACAGCTTAGGAAATTTAAAGCAGAAAGGTTTGCAAAGGAAATGTGTTACCATAATTCCCATTTATAAGATACAGCAACAAACATGACATTTATGTTTATATTCCAATATAAACAACTAAAACTAACCGGGGCATCTGTAAATCAAGGACACAAAACAGTTGCATACATACCAATTTGTCAATTAATTAAATTGCACAAAACGTTAAACATTCAGTAGCCTGTCTTCAGCAAACAAATTTGAGCTTCATTCTAACCAAGCTCTGTTGTTGTTGTTGGGCTTAACACCATTCTTCAGCACACGATAGGCTATACATGGCGGCCAGTATTAATGGTGGAGGAAGAAACCGGGAAATCACCGGAAAGAACCACTGACCCACGAAAAGCTACTGGCAAGTTTTCTCACATATCCACATTCGCCGAATCCTAGACTCGAACCCACGCAGACAGAGGTGAGATGGCAGTGATCCGTAACGGACAGCGCTTTAGACCACTCGGCCACTCGGGGCCCAATTAACCAAGCTCTATTTATTTCGTTAATGGAGCTGAAATGGACAATATCACAGTTCAAGGGATGGCCTGGTACCCAAGTTAGGAAGTTACAATGCCTGAAAGAGCTTCCTTATAATCTCGGGACAAACAATACACACACACACACACACACACACACACACACACAAAATCTGGATTGGACAA